AAAAGTCCATTTTACAAAAAAAATAATCATTCGCAATTCCTAACTTCAAAATCACCAGTAATAAACTGTAAATGACGAGAGTTAATTTTGTTTTCGTGGTAATTTATTAAAAGCAGTTGTACACTAAAAATTGGTTGATGGTAAAGTAATTTTATTTAACGCCGGCCTCGACGCATATGGTTGGTGCAAATCAGCAAATTCTTGCCAAAGAACAGTTACTGGTCGCCTTTCCCAGCTAGTGGGTAAGTGGAAAGCCCCAATAAGAGGTAAGGATGTAATATAACGCGCGAGGTACGTAACCTCCAAATACAGTCTTGAGCTGCCCCCTCACAACCCACATTGCTCCACTTAACTGAGACCTTCCCCTCCCATCCAATACAATGATAAATTGGTATCGAGTCATATTTCAAATCATTATTTTTATATTACAACCTTATGTCGCAACATTTCTGGTGGTGCTTCACTGCCTAACATGCTTTTAAGCGCATATCATGAATCAATTTGTGGGACAATTTGTGGATTTTTTCAGAATCCCCACAAAGTTTGTTAATTTATTACTTTCCTGTGAACAATCAGGAGATCTTCGGTTCACCGCTTCATCCTGATTAAAGTCAATAGTTTTTTGATAGTTGTAACTGGGCACAGCTCTTCTCGTTCTCGACTAAATTATCTTTTAATAAAAGATTAGGTGAAACCAGTAGAAATCGACGGTTACTTTTGAGGTTTAACGCAAATTCAGTTAGTTTCGATGGATATAGTGAAGGTGTTAAAATCTTTGTTAAATAAAGAAGGGGTAAACATAATTATGACAAATGAGTAAATACAAACTTAGATGATGAATTCGTTGAATGCAAAATTTTCTGTCCTTCATCGGCAACTAACAAGAAATACTTGAAATACTTGAGGTCTTCATCCTTGACCGACAATGTTGGATAGATTGTGTCAACTCATATGAGTTTGTCAATAAAAACATATATTTATACTATTTACAATATATACAATATTTACATTTTACTGTGGCATGGCGGATATATTTTGGGCTATGATCTGAAAATAGGCTCCTCAATGAGTTCTCCCAATAAATATAGTGGCCTATCCACTAGGGCTTTTTAACAAACTGTAGTTCCAATTTACGCACTCGAACTGGCAGGGTATTGAAGACCTTTATTGCAGAGCGGTGATAACATTTTAGAGTACGACTCAAGCTACAGCGTGGCATATCCAGATCTTGTGCTCTTCTTGTGTTGTAGCTGTGCTGATATTCCCTTTTAAAATATTCTCCTTCACGTCCTTTTAATAGAATGAGTATGTCATAAACATATTGGCTGTAGATGGTAAGTATCGGCTGATCCCTGACAATAGGCCGGTAATGCTCAGAGTATTCAGAGGATGTTAAAATTCTGATTGTCTTTTTCTGGAGTAGTACAGTCCATACGTTATGTTATGTGGCTGTGGAAGAGGGCGTGATACACAGTCTTTTGGTAGGGCTGCGTTATGATTGACCTAAGTTTTCTTAATATGTACAAGACTCTGAAGAGCTTAACGCTGTCTTTTTCAATATGGCAACTCCAGCTGCATTTAGAGTAAATACAAAAACCAAGCAGCTTTACAGGTCCATATCTTCCTCTCTCCTCTCTCTAGTTTTGAGTTTGCATATCAGAGATTGCGTCTCTTGTCCTCATCTGCAATTTGTTACAGATAAACCATGTTCCGGCAGATCTCGCCCTCGAGAGAGTAGGGTAGTATCATCTGCAAACAGTAGTGTGTGACCGTTTAGCGATCAAGTCATTGATCATCATTGTGAAAAGTAAATGGGTTACCCTTGAGGTTTAACGCAATTTCAGCTAGCTTCAATATAGTGAAGTTATTAAAATCTTAATTAAATAAAGGAGGGGTCAACATAGTTATGACGATTGGGTACCCTTACAAAACGTGGATGATGAATTCATTGAATGCAAAATTTTCTGTCCTTTCATCGGCAACAGGTCACCCAAAAGGTTTTGAAGAGTCTTACGTTTCTTGTTCATGAGTTTTGATCAAAACTCATGAACAAGAAACACTGAGCTAAAATTATAACTGGAGGTAGCACTGCCATGGCAGAAGTCTGTCAAAAGCGTGTCGCTGATTTTGTTAGGTTGGTATAGCAGCAGGTTTTTTCATCCAATAACATGGCTTCTATAACTAGGTTTGCATAGCAGTGAGTTTTTCATCCAATAACATGGCTTATTTATAACTCACACCTCACGCAAACATGGCGGCTGGCGACACGCATCGTTGACATTCAGTGCTACCTCCAGTTAGAATTATAGCTCAGTGACAAGAAACGAAAGACTCTTCAAAGCCTTTTGGGTGTCAGATAACAGTATCTGGCAGAGGGAATCAATATTACTGAGAACTGGTTCCATCTGCTGCTTTAGGATTATATCTTTCAGATCATATTCGGATCGTAGTGAATCGTCATCTTTGGCTATAAACGGTAACTAATTTTAACAGCGGAAGGCAGATAAAATATTTGTTTGTGTGTATTTGATAAAAATATCTGTTTATCCAGAAAGCATTAATATTTTAACTTCGACTGTGAGGGTCTGAGAGAAAAAAAACAATTTTACCCCATAAATCCCCCGTAAAACTCCGTTCCCATAGTCACGGTTTTGCAAACTCATTTAAGTTTATCCTGCCTTACACCTTCAAACCAAATTTCATCGAAATCGGACAAAAATTACTCTATATATACCCCTGCTGCAGCAAACCTGCCGACTAAGCAAATTTCCATTTGTCTGAATTGATTTTCAATTAAATATATTTAAATAACATTAGGTACGTTTAACGACTACCTAGGTTTGTTGTTACAAGGAAACTAAAAGTGTGATTTTTAGTAAAATATTAATAGCTTGGTATAAAATAAATAAATTTGCAAGTTTGATCAAACTATCAAAATCGCAACAAGCAAACTACAACATTTTACAATATTCTCCACAAGAATAACATGGGAATTTTAAATTGACTATTTTTGGAATTTTCTCCGTTAACAATAACCACAAGCACAAAAACCACTAAAAGTACTTGGTAAACTAAATTAGTCGTTTTTAAGCTCCTTAAAAAGGTCTAGAGATAAATTGGAAAATTTTGTGTTTTGAGGGTCAAAAATGAGAAAAACAAATTTTCACCCCATAAACCCCCACCCCGCAAAACACCGTTCCCATGGCCCGATCATGGTGGTTTGCGAACTCATTCAAGTTTATCCCGATTTACACCTTTAAATCAGATTTCATCAGAATCTGACAAATATTACTCATGTTATCACGTTGACGGACACATATATAACTCTATATATAATTTTGAATAAATGATGTTTTTGGCCTCTGGGGACATCCAAATTAAAAAATTCAATCGGCCCCGGGCCTAGGCACGGCCACCTTTAACTACAGGCCGCTTAGTGACAGACGTCCCATAAGATAAGATAAGATTTTTTTTTCAAACGGAGAGCGACTTCCATTCTTCAATCCAATTAGCCTGAACGCACTAGAAATCATCTGTGGGGATGTGTTCACAGTGGTTCAGTGAGTCTATGTCAATAGTGTGGGGTCAGTGGGGGGATCCAGGGGTTGTGCGTGTGTTGGCATCGGTTTGCCGAGGGTAATGCTTACCTCCGACCTTTGTACTACTCCATCCTGAACTCCTACTCTATCCTGAACTCCTGCATCAATCTTTGCATGTTTCCAAGCTTTCTATTTATTGCATTGTTATTTATTTTTGTTAATATAGTCCATCCTGTTGTTATTGCATTGTTATATCTTGTTCTTGTACAGAGTTTATCGTATTGTTATTTTTCTGAAAGTTTTATCTGTTTTTCATTCTGCCTCTTTACTGAAGTTTCACTCGGCTACTGCATTGCATCATTGTTATTGTTCCTATACTGGTTTTGTTTTTTCGATTGTCTCGTTTTGTCAACCTGTTCAGATAGTTTGTTATTTATAGTTGTTACTTATAGTTTGTTATTCATAGTTTGTTATTTATAGTTTGTTATTTATAGTTGTTATTTATCTTTTTATGTCTTGTTATTGAAGTCTTGTATTCCAGTTTTTTCACTACTTTTGTACTGACCTGTGATTTTTTCTGCTTCTTCTGCATGTAAGACATTGTATTATTCATGTAAAAATGGTGCAACCGTTAACAAATAAATAAATAAATAAATAAGATAACATGGCAGACAGGTGACATCAGCTAATTAATTCACACTTTATTGATTTATGAACATAAATTTATTAAAATATTGAAAATACAACATAAAGAATTGAAAACCGAAACAATATGAATTAAAAATCTATATCTGTACATTCTAAGCGGAGTCAATATTGTCATAGTCCGGTAACCAATCTTTCGTAAATACACAAATACCATTAGCTGCTTCCAAACAAAACAGCTGTTACAACACCACTTGCGACGTTGCCACTTCGAAGGCCGCCCGCGGTCTAGAGTTAAAGGCGGCCGTGGCCTAGGCCATATCGTGCCACCTGCGGTAATAGCTACTTCCCTATGGGGAAATTCAAGGTTGTTAATTAGAATAAATCGATATGGTATTGTAGGGGATAAATAGTCATGAAATAAATCCATGGATAGTTTTTGTATTTTCAATGTATCAATATACAATACAATTGACATCCTGGAAATAGTGATATATGTTTGGAACCATGGTGGGAATGGAAAACCTATGCAGTTTCCTTCCACCATGGTTTGGATTGGAACCATCAAAGCGCACTAAGTGGCCGTGCCATGTGTGGCATCAAGTACTGTATGATAATTATTCAAAGCTAACAGATTGGCCAAAAGTTAGCGCATACTTTTATTTCAGGCTGGCAACACTGTCGTTAGCTGAACACAACACATGTGATGACGTTCGACGTTCACTACATACCTTCACCTTCTTCTTTTCTGTATAGTCTAGTCTGCCAGTGCCAGACAGACAGACAGATTCTAACCTCTTTAGTGTTAACCTAAGCATATGTCAAAACGATTTCGGTTATAACAAATTAATAATCCAGTTAATACCATGTAAGTAGTCATAAGATTACTTATATTCAATTTATCTTTACATTAAACTGAATAAGAATTACTTTTAACTTTAAAAATTTAATAATCTTATTGGTAAAACTAGGCCTAATTGAATGCATTGTTTGTCTATTACAAGTCCTGAGGTTTCATGAGTCAATGAAAGTTAAACCAGACAGTGTAGGGTAAATAATAGGCTAATTTCCGAATTTAAATGAGTTTAAAATTAAGTAGCCTCAATCTAACCTTCAAACCAATGGAATAGGTGTAGGTTGAATATTTTTGAACAAAGTTAACTTAGGCCTACTGGGTTATCGAAGTAGGTCTATAATGTTATGCTTCTATTTATTTAAACGTAAATCCATGGAACAACTAACTTAACTAGTTCCAAAATTGTATTCTTATTTGCTGCAATGACCCTGATAAAACACCCGCTGGTTTGCCAGCGGTTTCCAAACTTTTGGTCTGGGGCTTCACCTCCATCCTGGATTTTGTTGCAACCCATTGGTTAAAAATAAACCCTATAGCCTACTAAAAACAATAGCATTATCACGGTGGGCCCTACCGTTTTTATCATCATGTATTGTCGTATTGTCATGTACTTAGTGTCAAGTGAAATACTTACACCTCTTCATGAAAACTTTTAAGATGGTGCAATTCAGAAACATTAAATTAACGAGACTTTGGAAGTTGAAGTTAACTATTTTACAAGTCTAGACCATATCAATATTGAATGTAGACAACTTGTTGTGTTGGTTACTTCCCACATAACTTGCCGTTTCATGTCAACCTTATTTATTTTTTTAATCCATTTAGCTCTTTATGATACTACTGAATTAAACAATGTTTCCTCTTTAAATTACCTTTACGAGTGGGTTAACTGCGTTACTTTCATGTTAAAGGTAACATTCATTATTATCGGTGATTTCTTTTTCGATACGGTATATGGATATTTTATTTTTCGATCCAATATATCGATATTAACGAATTGAAACATATTGACATTAGCCTAACAAATTGAAACATATCAGCTGATAACTATGATGAATAAATATTGTTTGGTAACAAAAAAAAAAAGTTATATTGGAATGAAACTGTTCTTAAACTAACCTAACATAAGTAACCAAACTTGCTGTAACATTTCAAATAGAAGTTTTTGTTACTAGTCCCTAAAGTAGACTTTTTTTTATTTTTTGTTTGAAATTCGATTAAGTCACAAAGAAGCATTTTAGGACAAGTTACGAACAATATTTTTCATTACATTGTCATATATTATAGGAGAAAATACAAAATATAGCCAAAACCGTTTGATTAGAAAGGAACATTTACTTTTACCAAACAAATCGAACGAGTACTGTACATAAATTATAGAAAGGTTTGTTAAATTAAAGAACAGCTGATTTGTTTTTGTGATAAGCTTTGACATAACCATATGATTCGAGTCTGTAAAATTGTACGGACTAGTCCGCAAAAAGCTATCTTTAGGGACTCAAAACGATCCGTAAGACAGCTGTTTTTGAGACAGTGTAATGAAAATTATGTTTGATATTCCCAACATGCCTTTTTTGTTATCAAACAGAATTTTTAAATGGGACAGCAAGTTTATAAGTTATGTTACCGGTAGGTTAGTTTACCACAGTTTTATTTCTTACCTATTTATTTTTGCCTAAACAAGATTAACTTAGTTCTCAATAATTTGAAATTTAAATGTGTTTGATGATAATAAAACAGAAAGAATACAGATTGTAAAAGATACCATAAATATTGATTTTATTGAAAATAAATCATTGATGATAATTAATGTTCCCTTTAACAGGAAAGTAGGTCTTACTTACTTGAATATTTGTATTCTCCATCGATGACCGACATGTCGGATAGATAGTGTCATATTTTTTTTAAACTTCTATTTATATAAACATATTTAGGCCTATGCTAATTACTATAAAAAATATATATATATACTTTTCTTAGGCGGACGTGTCGTGCTACAAAAAGAGGTTCATTGTCCAACTCTGTCTACCTAAGCTGCTCCAAAGCACTTCTTTCAAAATATGTTGAATTAAGTCTAACAAATTGAACTAACTTAGGTCTTACAAATAAAAAGGTTCAGCAAATCTGTGGTTAGGATTTTAAGTAAAATACATGTCAATAGATATGTTCAATTAATTTTCTTTATATTTCATCAAAGTATGGCCATTTAGGTTTTAAGTGGGTTTGGACAAATGCTATTAAATCTACACCTAGTTTGGAAACGGCTGGACTGATTTTAGGCTGTACCTATTTATTTTCCTTAGTAATCTTTTCTCATATCTAACATAACTGTCTGCCTGTCCCAGGGTTCATAGTGCTTGCCTTCAAACCTGAAGGTTGCTAGTTCGATTCCGATCGTGGTCGTTTCTGGACTTAGCCCTTACAAACAACAACAAAAGTGTGATTCGCATAAAAAAGCACACACAAAAACTCAGGGGTGGTGGTAACTGCTATCTTAACTCCCCGTGTTAAGGATTTATTATCTTTTTAAGTAAACATCGTAGCCTAGTTAATCTTGTGAATTTGATTAAAATCTTTGTTCAAACAATATATTTTAAACCCTGGAGAGGATAAAAAAAAACAATTTCAAAGATTTTTACATTGAAAAACTGGTGTTTAAATGAAAATTAAAAGTTAACCTAGATTTCAACCAAAGAAGTCAAAGAGCTCTTGAGAGGTAGTCAATAATCCTCACCTAATGTTAAGCAGAATAGGCCTAATCGTATGATTTATTTTACTTTTCAGGGCCAAATCAAAAGTCAGCTTCAAGATTACGCTAACTTCAGACCCAAAACTTCCTTTTAAAGTGTAAGTAGGCTAACTTCTTTAAAATGATGAGTGTTAGATATAGTTTTGTTGTGTTGTACCTATGTCAAAATTAACATTGGGAGCGAGCTGGCGTAGTGGTTAGAGCGCTGGACTTCAGTCCCTGAGGTCCCGGGTTCGATCCCCGCCAAGTCACCAATGGATTTTATCCAAGTGATAATGCCGCAACCCCTAGGTTTAGCCTGAAGTAATGTGAAAAACAATCCCAGGCTCGTGCCTAGCGTTCTAGTATAAACAAAATTTCAAAATTAAATCAACCTGAAATAGACAAAGCCAGTTCTATATGCTATGAAAATAAAAACTAAGCCTTTGTCCTTTTTCAGTCATTAAAGGTCAAGTATTTAGACCACTTGAGTAAAATGTACTCGATTCTGCATAGACTCAAATACCCTACTTGTCTATAGTAAATGTTTTACCTTTTTTACCTTTTCCTCTTCTTTCTTCGCCACAATCCTCAGATTGGGTAGTCATCAAAATTTCTCCTTCTTCATCCTCTTGGCAGCCTTTCAGCTAGCCCAATGTAGGTGTGTAAGTGTGTTCTTGTATTTATTCCTTTGTTGAGTAGTATGGTTTGTTTATAAGGTAATTTTGTGTGTTTTTTACAATGTGGTATGATTTGAAATCTTTTTAATTTTGTCTGGTAGGAGATTTATGTAGGTATTTAGATCCTGTGTATGTTGGGATATTGCTGAATTGGTTTAGTCTGTATTGTGGCAGGTTTATATTGTTTTTGTGTCTGGTGTTGTGATAATGATATTGTGACCGGAGTGTTGGATTCAATTTTTTTTGCTAGGATAATGGTTTCCAGGATACATTGTGAGAAAACTGTGGGGATTTGAGTTGGATGAATAGGGGTCTACAATGTTCTAGGTAGTGTGTCCTGCATATTGTTCTCAGCACTTTCTTTTGAAGGATGCGTAGTTTGTCCATATTATTTGCAGATGATGAGTGGTAAGCCTAATCCAACAGAAGTGATTTTATAAAGTCCTTTGACTTTATAAAACCACTTCTGGCGGATTAGGCCTACCACTTTCTGTCCTCAACATCTTCAACCATTATGTGGATATCTGTCATCCAAGGTATATGACTTCCAATTATTTGAAAAGGTCCTGTAGCATTCAAGCATTCTTGACTTAATCCAACTTTGATGAAATATATCCTGTGAGACTATGCAAACTGAGCCTAGTAATAAACCGTACAGCCATGGACAAATCCTAGTACATACTTGTCTGTAACTTTGTTCTTTTCTTACCTTAAGTACATGATCACTAAAACTTGCCATTGACTACAAACTGAAAGTCAAATATTTTTCACCTTACTCCAAACTGAAAAATTAAAGTGCTACAGTCAAACAAGCTAAGAAAATCAGTAATATCATCAACAAAATCTTGAATAAATGCCTCCAATACCTGCAAATAAAATAAAGTGCTAAATTCAAGAAAGCGAAGAAAATCAGTAATGCCATCAACAAAATCTTGAATAATGCCTCCAATACCTGCAAATAAAATAAAGTGCTAAAGTCAAGAAAGTGAAGCAAATCAGTAATACCATCAACAAAATCTTGAATAATGCCTCCAATACCTACAAACAAAATAAAGTGCTAAATTCAAGAAAGCGAAGAAAGTCAGTAATACCATCAACAAAATCTTCAATAATGCCTCCAACACCTGCAAGGCTGTGTGGATGTTGTTAATGAGCGTAGGAGGTCCTGCCCTTGGTTCAAAGATTTAACTACATTTCTTGATTTGAATATGACTATTTTGTCAAGATAGCTGATGAGATCCCAACCTTACCTTATTGCAGCAGGCAGGCCGAGTAGATGCAGTCACTGACCACTCCACTAACCACACTATAACAATTCTCTCAAGGAATGTTTTACCAACTTCAGTGTCAAGTTGGATGTTGAAGCTGCTGTGGTGCATTTCTTGTATCGTAGGTACGTTAAGCAGAAGAAGAAACGATACTGGGAACATCCAATGTTAACTGAGACTTTTCCTTCTGAGTAGCGTCTTCACGCCCACCAAACACCAGCGTGATCTCCTCCCAAGCTTCCTTCTTCATCTCTCTGTTGGCATAATCTACTGCTGATATATCCTATAAACAGGGCTTTTCTTTAATAGCTATAGTAAAACTCTCAGTGTCAAAATCCTGCGACATTTTACAAAAGAAGTCACTTCACAAACCACACAAGAAACAAATGCTCACCGTTTGATTCATCTAGGAATACTGGTCGGGTCGGAGACAAGTCGGGGGAAGTGCGCGTCGTCCCATTACATTGTGTGTTATTTTTGTCTGCAACAGCCAGCGAGTCGAGCCCGACCAAACTGCAAGGGCTTTGGTCGTACGACCAGTGTGCGCTGTTCCATTTACGCCTAAAAACTGGCCGTATCCGACCAGTGGGAATCGTGGTCGGGATAGTGCTCGCCGGCCGAACTACAGCCCTAATGACCTGACACAATGAAAGGGATGTGTCAAGTTATCTAGAGGTTCTCTACTTTCTAAGGTAACTCAGAGAAGAAATCACAAAGACCCATCTGATAACCATATACCATGCCATATTCCATAGTTGTGCAGCGGATAGTGCTCTTGGGACACTCCCCTGCATGCCATGAGACAGTAGCTTTATAAAAAAAAAACTGTAAGGGTCATTGCATCAAAAGGCCCTAAAGACCATTGCTGACCCATATTTAAAGAATTGGGAATCCTCACAGTCGCAAGCCAATATGTACTCATAGAAACCCTGCTGAAAGAAACCCAAAGATAATTTAAGATTCAAAGTTGTAGGGTTGTAGGCATGATTGTGGAACAACGAGGGCCCATTATTTGGATATGCCCTGTAGACATTTAAGTCACACCTTACAATACATTTTGATTCAAAGGTGATTAAAATTATCAGCACTTTACCTGATAGTGTAAGGAACCTCAATAGTACAATGTTCAAGAACTGGAGCTTGCTCACAGCTATAGGCTCCTGTACCATCTGGAAGAGTTATCCTCCAAACCGCTAATGCCAGGCTGAAAAGAATTACGATTTCTTATACCACAGTATATTATAATTTTGTTAGTTCATATTTTCAAGTGTAAATTTTATAAATATGTTTAGTTTTTGATAACTCAATAAATCCAATAAACATTGGTCAAAGATTAAGACAAGAAAGAAAGTAAGTATACAAAAATTACCATAATGTACAAAAATTGTAGAATCTTCAAAAAGTTCAAAAAGTAGTTCTGAAAGGGGTGTGCTGAAAGTCAGTAATTTGCCTTTTTGTCGTAGGTGAATCCTGCTTGGTGAGAACTAATTGGAGAAAGACTTGATGAAATGACAAAAGAAGAGGCTTAAAATGAACCCACATGACAAGGACTATAAAGCACTATTTACTGTTTTCCACCAATTTTTACACTTTTGTGAGGGTAACAGTGAAGGTAAAGAGGTTGAAATTATGTTTCAAAGTGCTAAAATCATTGAAGATACCTGCAGAGAGATAGAAACTATTGGTGCCGCTCAGGGTTTTGATGAGAAATTAAAAGAGTCTTTGGAAATTGAAGGAACAAAAGTTGTACCTCTAAAATTCTTTTATAACGCATTTAATCATCTACTTTCCCAATACATAGTCAATAGTGAATTCAGTGAATCTGAAGTAAATGCAGCAATTTTTCAGTTTATTAAATTTAAATCTAAACAAGAGTTTCAGAAGCTCATTTACCAATTGACGATAACAAATCAAACTGTTGGAGCCCTCAGCACATCATTGTCTTCTTCTGAAGCTTTAAGAAAATTCGAAGCAGAAAATTTTCAAGAAGAATTAGAGAAAATGTTGATGAAGAATGACGGTGATGTTGAAGAAATATATGAAGAAGTAACTAAATTAGTTTTGGAGAACGGCACTATGATTGAAGTTTTCCTTGAATTGTTATGCTTACCCAGTACCAGAAAGTTTACTGACTGCATCCAAGAAGCAGTTGCTCTGTCTCTCTGTGACTTATTAGGAAATTTAGACAATGTATATTTGTATCCTCAGTTGTGTGACTTTAGTGAGCAAGAATTCCACACCGTAGTCAAAAAGTGGCCTCAATTTGTCGAAGCTATTTTAACAGTTATTCAGGCATCAGCTGGACGATTGAAATGTAGCTACAGTGGAAATACTTACTCATGGACTACCACAGGCGCAAGTCCGTGTCTTGGTTTTGATCGAATTGTCACCATAGTTAAGAAGTGTCAGAATGTGACTGGAAACAGTGTTAAATTTAAGACGTTTTTGGAACAATTAGGTGAAGAGGGTTGTAGAGTTTTAGCCGAGGATATCATGCTTAAATGTCATCTCAGTTAGGGTTGGTATTGTTTTTTGTTTGGTATTGGTTAATTATGATGTCCTATTAAGTTAGAATAATGTTAACAGTACTTTTGATGGTAGGGCCGTCCAAAGGGGGGGCAAGCTGTCCCGGGCGCCGCGGCTCAGGGGGCGCCACGCAGCGGCTATTTGTATTAACATAGTATTAAAATATGCGAATGCCACTATTACTGGGGGGGGAGGTGGCGCCACAACCACGTTTGCTCCGGGCGCCGCCAACCCTAGGGACAGCCCTGTTGGATGGAAGTATACATTTAAAAGTTGTAGCTGGTTTTAGAACACAAATGAACCTAGCCTAACCAAACCAAAACTAAACGTTCAGTTTATTTTAAACTATTGAAAGAAAACCAATCTAGTCTAGTATCCTTATGGGTCTGAGTGAAATGGATCATCTTGTAGGAAATTTGTCTCTTTAATGTCCTCGCAAAAATTGTTTATACAGTAGACCCTTGATAACAAGACTCATCATGGGGATTGTAAAATAAGACTTGTTATCAAGGTTGACTTCTTATCGAGGTTTTTCATAACATGTGATTAGGGGTAAAATCATTTTAAGGGGATTTGAAAATGATACTTGTTATCAAGGGTCTTCTTATCAAGGTGTAGAAAGAAAAGAAAATTTGTATCGCACACTCTATGATAGGCTTATTTATTTATGTTCTGTTTTAATAAAAAACTGGACACACCTGGTCCATATAAATAGTTTGTCTACCCTCGTATTCAAAAATCAATTATAATCTACTTTAACAATAAAAGTTTGTTGTTTTGTAAATTCATGAATTTTTTAGCAGTTAATTTGGTTGGTTTCTCAATTGCTAACCATAAGTTGTGAAAAGTTTGTGTGACCTAGTGGCTAATGTCAATTCTAATTAAAAAACTCAAACCGTCTATATATTATAGGCAAGCATGTTTCTTTAAAATCATCCTTCTCAGCTCGTGTGCATCGCAGGAAAAATCTGCGCAAAAAAACACATTCTGTTAGAAAGATATTTTCTTGTATGTGCAGAATCCCTTTATAAATTAAAATAGGCTAAAAAATAAGCACAAAAATCAATTTGAAATCAAACAAAAATTAACTTGGGCCTTGTGGGTACTTTTTATGCTGGTGACGAAATAACAACAAAATATAGACAAAAAATCAAAACAAATGAAAGAAATTACAATCACATGTTTAATTTACAGTGTGGCATGAAAATAAAGAAATCTGTACATTAAATATTTTTGGTCCAGTTTTTTACCACTGGATGACCTCTAGTTTGTTTAAATATAAGTCATGTTGTTACAATCTTACAAAGCAAACTTTACCTGCAGGACAAGCAAATTTCCATTTATCCAATTGGATGTTTATTAAAATTTTTTCAACATTGCAAAGTTATTCCCTATTTAAATAGAACATTTTGTTTAACGATTGGATTAAACTTACTTAGGTTTGCTACCACGGGGAAGAGGTAGTAAAATGTCAATAGGCCTAGTTTGATATAAAATAAAATACTTAGCCAAATTTTATCAAAGCACATATATTTAAGTCAACTACAGCAGTATAGCTTTTCTCCAATTTTAAATGTTCAGATTTTTTAATTTTCCCTCCAACCATTAAGTGTACAGCAACTCTTCAATGTACAAAATTATTTGTTTTTTTACTCTGCCCCACTTCCATATTCACATCCTATGACGTAGGTTCTTTTTTCACATTACTTCAACCTAGGCCTACAGGGTTGTGGCATTATCACTTGTATAAAATCCATTGTGATTGGTGGGATTTGAACCTGAGACTGGAGTCCCGTGCTCTGCCACTAGAAGACTTGGTGGTTTGGACTGATCCTGTTCTTGAAACGTGATATCTATATACATTTTAATCGTTATCCATATTACATATTAATACATCTTTATTTTCTTATATAATAGGTAGTGTTTTGGGGTACTCTCTGGGGTCATAAAAATGAAAAAGTAAGTCCTGAATGTATGTCTTACCATGTCACCTAGGGTAATAGTTTCTCCCCTATTGGAGAAATTCACTAAAAATACTAGGGCTCAGTAAGTAAGCAATCCCATACAACGGTGTTCATACCTTGGTGTATGAATGTTGAAGTCTCTTGCCTATCATTATTAACTGATTGCAGAATATCAGTGCCAGAGGAGGCCCCTATCACCGCTCTAGTGAAGTTTGCTGCTGAAGAATTCAAAGTTCCTCCTGAGACATCTGCAATTATCACTGACGATGGTATTGGCATCAACCCTTCTCAGAGCTGTGGTAAGTTGGCTTAAGTACAGTAAAGCACTTTTAAACTGCACCCCAAAACGGTTACCAAAATTATAATAAAAATCTAAACATATAAAATGCAAAGCCCTCACTGACTGACTCACTCCCTCACTCATCACTAATTCCCCTACTTCCCATTTACCTAGGAGGATGAAATTTGGTACACTGATTCTTTACCCATTGATTGTTACCCAAACTGGTAAGGCAATCAATAGTTTTATTAATACTTATGAAGTCAAATGGGGCGAAGCCCACGTGTAAAAGCTACTTTCAAATAAATTTAAAAATAGCTAGGCGAATAAAATAGCCTTTAAATTCCAACCATTGATTACCTACCCAACAAAATGAGTTATCAGAAAACCACCTCACCTCTTCTATTTCGGTTAGTCGCTGTTTCACTATTACTTAAATTAAATGTCAAACCCTTCTAATAAAGTACAATGTTTTTTTTCATAAGTTGACTTTATCTGACTAACTTGGAGAACACTAAAAAGCTTCTCCTGGACACCATCAGTAACCTTAGCATGATAACTGAAATGGTTTATGCTCAGACCTATTATAGGACAGCCAAAACACTTTAAGGCTCGTCACACACTGCGTCCGGTCCGGTAAAATCTGATCCGGTGTTTTTCACCGGATCCGGCAAATCTCCACACACTGCATCAGGCGTTCCAGTTCCGGCGACCAGTCTGAGTCTATGCGAGGACAGCGGTATTGTGAGTTGAAGAAGTGTTTAACCAACAACACACAGTAGTTTGTTTTAACAAAATTTCCCTAAAGCAATGACTGACAGTGACAGTGAAGAGATCTTCGTAGTTGCAGCAGCTCTTGCTTAAACGTCCTTGTGGCCTAGGTCGTATAGCTCAGGATACGCCTGTACTAGCACAATCAGTTTCTCTTCCAATGACATTTTGTAAAAAGTCGTACAGCGTAAACATTAACCACAAAACCACGTCTGCTGCTACTGTTAGTGCCCACTGTCACTGTCACGAGGTGAGTAGAAGTCGTCTGCGCATGCGCGAGCTCTCCGGCGTCGGAAGCTTGCCGGAAGCCTATCGCTTCTCGACCGAAATAATTTTACCGGACCGGACCTGAAGCACCGGACCGGATGCAGTGTGGGGACTTCCATTTGAATTAATGGTTTTCGAATTCACCTGATCCGGCATGCCGGATCCGATTTTACCGGACCGGACGCAGTGTGTGACGAGCCTAATTCAGCGCATGACTTAAACATCTCCCAAGATCACAGGGTTCTCACTGCAATCAAACACTGTAAATTTTTGTGATGGTAAATCGCTGCTCATGCTCATGAATAAAAAATAAAATTATCATCGTTACCTGCAATCGTCAGAAATTGCAAATATCTCCTGCATCACCCGCAGTGAGGCAACTTTTTTACATTTTTTTCAAAACACTGTGGTTGCCTAGTGGTAGATCTGGGACTGCTACAATTGCAGTTTTAGCAATTTTAGTGAGTCGGTGGCTCAGTCGGTAGCGTCGCGGACTTCGGGCCCAAGGCAGCGATGTCGTGGGTTCGGATCCTGGTCACTGCCGATAACATTTTATCAGTACAGTTCACCTTTGTACTGTACCGGCTCACTCCTTGCTTTGCTGTTAACGATCCACGCACGGGCGCTTAGTCTATGTGGACGGGCAAATGCAAGGTTAAAAGAGGCCGCCAACCTCTTTAAAAAAAAAAAAAAAAATTGTATAGTAAGTTCAAAAATAGATTCAAATAAGGTTTATCTTAACTGTAGGATTTAATGTCAAACTTTAGTGTGTCCCTGTCCCTTCACAATTTGGTACAGCATGTTTTAATTATTCTTTTGTAGTCTTCACTAAATTACACTGTCACTGTTATGAAATTAGGATTCTAGGGTGCATTTCAATTGAAATATGAAATATGAATGGAAGATGAGAGTCTTACAATTGGTAGCTGTTTTACTGACTATAGTCAAATGTTTCTGGGCCAAAAAGATAGGTTTCTCATAGAAGTGGACTTTCTATTAGAATTAGATGACTGCCTAATTCCATGCAATTTGTGTGTGTGTGTAGACTATTGAATTTTATATCAGTAAACTTGTAATGGATTCTATGTTCCAGGTAATGTATTCCTGAAACATGGCACAGAGTTGAGACTAATCCCGAGGGACAGAGTGGGCTTTAGCTGATCTGGCAAGAATCACATTCCTCCGACATAACAAATATTTATGGTTGCAAACTTTTGTATACTTTTAAAGTATTTCTTTTGACATTTGCTATTAACTGTAAATTGGATAATTTTAAGGTTTGTTACGTGTGATACACATATAGTAATTATTTACAATCTGATTGTTTTTTATGTTCTTTCTGTAAAAAATAAAAAATATATGATTTAAATTATTGAAATGATTGAAATGCATACTTTTTCAAATCACTCCTTTGGTTCTCTAGACTTCTTCAACTTTCAGCATAAAATCTAATGAATATTTCTAATTTAATAACTATAAAAGAGGTTTAATTTACCTGGTTACTGACAAAACGATCCATGGTAGTTCATCATTCGTGCTGCTAATTAAGCACAAAACATCTTATTATTTGTATATAGCTCAAAACATCTGATTACCTCCACTAGATGAATATTTTAAACTACCACTGATAGTTTTGACAGTATCAAGGTAATTATTAAACCTTTTTTAAGTTATTTAGAAGATCCAAACCATTCCATCATGAAAATGTAATACTGTAGCTCTTTCATGCTGCAAAGTCCTTATGAAGGAAGTGAATCATTTTTAATTTGCATCAATGAGACAAGAGTTGAGGCTGCTAAGTAATTGTGCATAAGAGTAATTTAACCATTCGTAGCCCTCGGAGGGTTACCTGAAAATGTTTCTGAACTTCACGCAGACTAGGCAAGGTATGGATGAGTTGTCAGCTAAAGGAATGCCCTTGTTTAGGTGTCATCATTACAAATGCATACTTGGTTGCGCCATGTATACAGTAATTTGAGCTTCCATTTCTAACTATTTCAATAGCAACCCTATCTTTATATTTTTTGGTCAGTTGTAGTACAGTTTTGGAATATGACATAACCTCCGTCTATACTAGAGTTATTTAATTAGTAGGATACTGGTACCTCTAAGGAATGGCTTTCATCAATGTCTTTTCATTAATATTATTACACTATCATACTTTTTTATTGGTTCAGCACATTTTATACGCTAGTTTCTTTGGGTTCGTCAAGATTTAGTTCCCACTCACTTTTATGTGTAATTAGCCATGTCGTCATTATAACAATTACATTTCCGATACCTTTTTTCCCTATTTCAAAGTTCATAGCACATCCTGACCAGGTATTTTGTAGATCCTAATATTAACTGTAGGTATGGTTCACTACGATCATAGTTTTTCCCTCAACTGTTAGCACGATAACATTTATTCTCCTATTCTTCCCATTTTTTCTCGGCTCTTCAGACTCAAAGATTTCAAGGTTTTGGCCAAAGTTTCATTTTGGGCGCTTGTCTTCATAATGACATTTAAATATTCTGTTCTCTTTCGTGTGGATGATAGAAAACCAGTTGACAAATACAAGCCGAGGCTGTTTCCTTGTCCTTATTCCATGTCGTTTTTGATGTTATTCTACTCTTTAATAGAATTTCTACTTTCTAGAATTTCTCATTGTTTATCTATTCTACACTATTTGTTCATGTATCAGGGACTTTTTTCTCCAATCAAAGGTTTCCCTTTTCTAGTATTGCATGTGTTTAACTTTTAGCCCTCGTATTTTTATTTTCCTGCAGCACCTTCCCGAAGCTGCCCCGGCCAAATGTTGGAGATGGGGTGGGAAGGTTTTTGAAAGCTATTGGATGAAATACTAGAGGCAGCGACATACCGAAACCTTTAGAAGGAAGTGGCAGATCGGCACTCTGGATACTCAATCCAATTGCAAACCAAAGACTATCACCCATATCTAACAACATGGCATATACTAATTTAGCCTACTAATACAATCCGTACAATCAAAAGTGAATCACATATAGCTGGGTATGGGTTATAGTTCTCGCTTAATAATGGTTTCTCAGGTCGATCATGAGAAAAGTGAGTAGTTTTTTGATGATTCAAGGACCTAGCAGTCCTTGGTCATTGGGATTTTAATAAAAGGTCCTGTCTATTGAAACAGCTGGTCTAGGTCAGTAACAAAACTACACAAGACATCTCACTCCATTCTACTCTATTCTTTCACCCACATTTGGGTTAAAATACGCACCTAGTTGGCGTCCCCATTCCACCTTGCAAGAAAATGTTGTCTTTAAGGAAACCAATTTCATCTTTATATTATATAACCTAGTTTTATAAATTTAGATTTCACCTGGTAATCAAATTTATGAAACAAATATGTGAATAGCCTTTCAAAACTTTATTATTACAGTAATTCTACTGCATCATATTTAAAAAAAAACTTGACATGCGCTGACAATAACTCAACATCCGCTGAGTTGTCTTTTGTGTTCTATGGAGCCAATCGAGGCTTATGGTTCGCTTATTTGGAGCAGACTTGATGCCCAGAAGAGTATTTATCTGTAAGATTATGGTTATGGTTACAATTGGATTACAAAAGTATTGACATTACTATTTTAATCTCTTCCAAGAGCGCTGTATGGGTTGATGCATCAGCTAACACCAAAGTAACGGCATTGGTTGCCTCATCAAAAAGCTTGCATAAAGAATGTTTTTTTCTTCTTTAAACTGATGGTAGGGGTCTATTACAAGTTCTTTATCAGCCAGTTGGTAAGTGTGCATCTCCATCTGATACCAGGCATAGAAAATCATCAATAGAGGAGTATTTCATAAAAACATTTTATACAGTACTCCTTTAAATTCAAAATACTGTATTTTCCTCTCAAGGTGATGATGGCCTTTTGCTTGAAAGTTTTATAGATGTGTAAAAGAACTTCCTGGTCCAAAGCTGTCAAGGGAAGTGGATGGAATGAACCTTTTACAC